ATCTCCTTCGTCTGTGTATGGTTGGGGCTGGCGCAGTCTTCCTGTGTGAAGCGCCAGACCCCTTCACACYATGGAATGATGATGATGATGTATGTTTGGGGCTGCATTGCAATATTGATTGTTCGGATCATTGGTATCTAAGTCTTCCGCTGTGCTATCCTATACTTTGTATTGAAAGGTCGGTTCTTGTTCTGGTCTGCACCTATACGGTATGCAACACCTATTGCATCACTAACTGGCTTCTTAACGAGACTGGGCTCATTACAAAATTTCAAAAATTTTCAGTGCAGATCAGCAAAACACCCCGGAATGGTACACGGACCCCGTCATGACCTGTCACTTAATCCGCACAGAAACGAGCACAGAGCAGATCTTAGCCCGTCACATGATGGTTCACTGAAACCCAAAAGCAAAGAACTTATAGAAGTGATTACAAGAATATGACAGAAAGAGTACAAATTTAAGCTACATAGACTGCCATCGCTATTCGGCTGTTCATGCCAAGTGGATGAGGTATCTTGCTGAAGGTACACGAGAGCCAAATCATCTTTTGGTAATTTCTGCATTCTTCGACTGTGATTGATCCCTTCATGCCCAGATGGGATTTGGGAATTTGGGATGAGGTACCTTGTTGACACAAGGCTTGACTGTTCCTGATGTGTGGAAGATGGCATCAAAGCTGTTTATCTCTTCTCCTTTGCACTTCCCTCTCCCCTGCACCCCGCACCCCCTCCCCCGGTCCCCCTCCTCCTCTCCTCTCCTTTTTCTGCCTCTGTTTTGCGCTGTGCTGGTTTTTGGTAATGCTAATGGAGACAAACCTTGAACCAAAACAAGAACAGGCCAAAAAAAAAACAAAAAAAAAACATAAAATTTGGAGAGAAGGTTAATGATGCTGCTGTTGCTGACTGGCTTGTGAGTTGTGCAACTTGTAATTGATGCTGACACTGAGGAGTGCAGTTCATTCTGAAGGCTCGGTGTTGTCTTTTCGTTTGTTGGCTCCACTGGTGGAGAGGGACTGGATTTTGCCCACAGTTGATGTGTTAGTGGAAAGGAGTTGACTTCGTTGAGGTCCGCATTGACTGTTTGTTAACGCTGTGCGCAACGTTTTTCTCCGCCTTGTTTTCAATTGTCTCGGTGTCTTGTTTGCGTACTTTGTTCGACTTGGTCGCTCTAGTTCCGATGGTTTGTGATGCCAGAGTGGACGTGGTCTTCATCCGGCGACTTGGGGATGCTGTCATGTATTGGTTGTGGAAGTGAGGAGTCAAAAAGGGCTGTTTTAGATAGGTAGGTAGGTAGCAAAAACGTCCACTTTGTGCTCATCGCACTGGGTTTAGTTTTGCAAAATCAAATTTTTATTCAGAATTGCTACAAGAAGATAAAGAAATTTTGCGTTTGTGGACCTGGACCAGGCATGTGACACGGCAAGCAGAGGTGGTAAACTGATGCTAAGGGAGTTGAAAGGCGAACTCCTCACTCTCTCCTATATTATTGACAAGTGCTGCTATTGAGCAAAGGAAGTGGAGGCACACGGTAGAGGTAGGCAATAGTGGGGGGGGGCAAACAAGACAAGTTGTTGCGGATACATTCAAGAAGCAGAAATCAGGACTAGCCAGGCAAGGGGGACGATGGAGGCGGCGGCCGGAGTCCATATACCAGCCAGTGGTGTAGAGTCCACCACATTTATCGAGGTACCGGAAAGTCATCCTCCGAATGAACCTTCAGAAACGGAAGCTGCTCGAAGTGATCCGCAGTCGTTGCTGAGGCTTTATGGATCAACTGTACAGGAGATCGACCGGCATGGGCAGTCCGTCCTGACAATTGTCATTGGGTTTGCGACCATTGCAGCGGCTGTTCTTGCAGTCACTCCAACGTCGTGGTTCCTGAAGGATTATGATGACATGTGCTGCACTAAGGTGGACACCTCAGGGAGGTGCTGTTTCGGTGTAGAAGAAAGGCTTAGGGCTCCATGCTGCAATACAACGGCCGGACGGGAACAAATCTATGTTGTGCAATGGGCCTCAGGGAATTGGAGTGACACAAGGTGTCGCGTTGCACAATCGGCGGTGCTGTTTCGGAGGAGCGGAAAGGCGATTTTCTTATGCCTTGGGATAGCAACCGCCGCTGTTGCCTTTTATGTAACCATGAAGATACCGCCAGCTGTAATTGCGTGTGAGCGCAGACGGCTCATTGAGCTGCTTGTGTTCGAACACAAGAAAAGAGCTTTTCACTTCTTCTGGCTCAGAAAGGACTACCTACTCGCCAATGTGTATTACCGTTTTTTCCTCGACTCCTTCGGCATGATGACACTCCTCCTGGTTGTGTGCTTTTCCATGTCACTTTGTGTGTGCCTGGAAAACTATTTTCAAGAAGCCAAATTCTGTGACATGCATCAAAGGTCGTTAACTTGGTCGAATATTTCCCAGTATCTCTGGGTAATGATCCTCGCCTTCGGCGTGTTATTCGTTTGGAATGCATTTTCGGTACGCAAGTGGTGGCATATAGAGAACAAGAGATACCCGTTCCTGATTAAACATGTTAAACATGTTTGTCTTAGCGATGGAAACCCAGATTGTGGCAATAGGGTCGCACAGTCAGCTCCTGGCCATGACGGGGGGAGGTTCAGAGCAAAGATCACCAGAGTATGGAAACCTATGCTGGTGTACTGGCATGGTTGTGCTCATTTTGGAGTTAGTAGAGTAAACAGCCTCTCTAAAGATGAAAGTGGGCCGTATGGACAGATTCGGTCATAACTCCAACCTCTGTGCATTAATCACTTTTCTGTCTGCCTCTTTGTGCGTGTATCCATGTGAGTGAGAGGGGTCTGGGGGGCCAGGGGAGAGAGAGAGAGAGAGATGGTTTCCTGCCTGACAATGTCCATCTTAGAGTTTGGAACTTAGAAGTTAAGAGTACAGCTAGGTCATTTTTGCAGTTTTGTATTTTCTTTTTTAAAGGCAGGTATTGTTTCCTTTTTGCCCTGAAAGCATGTAGACTATAACATTATTTTACGCACGCGACTATAACATTATTTTACGCATGTGACTAACATTATTTTACGCATGTGAATCTGTAGGGTTTTGAAGCCATGATTTGTTTATGAACAGCTACATGTGTGCCGTTTAGCCATATAGGCCGCGTGGTGCATTTGCACTCAATCATGTCTGATTCTTCTCTTTTTCTTCTTTCCTTTTTTCAGCAAACCTAACGTTCTTCGTTTCTTCTTGATAACATCGAGGCCGGGGACTTCATATTTCCACTCGGGCAAATACTGGGAGCCGTAATCACCTTAGATTTATCGGTGATCTCACCTTCGGTCTTCTGTAACTGCTGCAAAGAACCAGTGGCAAAATCCACACCGAACAAGTCTACGGGTCTTTACCGAGTCTTTAGCTGTTGGTCGTGTCAAGTTCCAAGGTTGAAAGCGGCACCCACAGCCTCAGGAGAGGCGCCAGAAAGTCCGTACGTTGGTAGGCCTGAGGTCAGAGGTCACAATGAGGTACTTAAGGCCTCCAAAGTCAAAAGAAGGCACTAGGAAAAAGTCAACAGTCTGGCCCAGCATGGGCGTCGCAGCAAAGAGTTGAAGATCTTGCAGGCTCGGCCACAGATCTCACAGGCATCCAAAGGCGCAGTGCAGTTTCCAGAACATTCCAAGGCCCGCCACGCCATCGGCAGCAAATCTTGGCCACTCAGATCAAGAAATCTCAGCCTTTTGAGGAGGCAGGCCAGGGCAGTCCGAGTTGACACTACGTCAGAGCGTTCTGCCCCAGCCCATTGATTCATTTTGCCTTGCGCTGCCTTGAGGCTGGAGAGCTGCGTTCAGAGAGGTACCCCAGAGTGAGGCAGACACAAAGACAGCGAGCAAAGCTTGGCAGCTATAGCGAGGGGATAGACAGTGCCCTGCACCATGCCTTACGGGCAAAGTGAGAGTGACACTGTGAGGCTTGAGGGAAGATCATTACCTGTGCAGAGCGGTGAGTTGTGTGTGTGTGTGTGTGTGTGTGTGTGTGTGTGTGTGTGTGTGTGTGTGTGTGTGTGTGTGTGTGTGTGTGTGTGTGTGTGTGTGTGAGTGATAAGGACAGGTGGCTACCAGCCTACCGCGACGCTAATCGCGGCGAGCTGTGTTTTAAAATGCGATAAGAATCATACCAGTGTGTGTGTGTGTGTGTGTGTGTGTGTGTGTGTGTGTGTGTGTGTGTGTGTGTG